TATTTATAGTCCCCATATATTCCCACTTTTCCATTTCTAACCAATGTGGGATTGTTAATCCCTTTTAAGGCTCCTCTTCAAATCCCAACTTTCAATCAATGTGGGAGTAATTTCACATACACAAGTGAAAATTCATTTGCCATAATATATTTTCCAACAAAAAGAACATAGCGTGAATAATGCCTAGAAACAGAGATCTGACTTTGCCACCAAAGCACATTATTAAAATAATCAGTGGTTCACTAAACTATATTTTAAATATCATTATTGGGCCCTGTAACAACCTAAACATCTTCTCATTTGCTTGTGCAAAATACAAAACATCTGTGCTTTTTCTGTCTATATTCCTAAGTGCGCACAAAATCCTGGTAGAAGTGCAGAAAAGTCAAATTTTGTCATTTTGTCCATGGATTTTGTTTTGTTAGGTACTTCTTAGATGGCCTTGATAAGTTTAGATTTAATTTAGTTAAAAAGATTATAGAAATTAATTTAAAGTCGATAATTAATTTTAATTGTACATTTTATCATATATATAACTTTTATCAATTTTTAACCACATATTTTATCAAAACTTACTGAAAATCATTTTAAAAAATAAATAAACCGGGCCTAACATATGCGCTTTTTTTTTCCCCCTAATTTACATGTTATTTGTTTTCGGATCCAGACGGTATAGTGAATATTTATATGGTGGTTTAAGATAAATTGATTGTAGACCATATCGATGATCAATTCGTCAAATTTAAAAAAAATAAAATAGTGATTAATACTAAATTAGGTGTCATGGGGTTGAAACACCACAATTGGTGATCAATTCGAGTGATGCAAATTGTTATATCATCAATCTAAGTGCTCCTGAATCATTTGATTCATTGTTCAACTAAGTTGTGATTAGACAATATACAAGAACAATCTAAAACGATGATGATCACTATTAATGATAAATAACTTTCTTTAGTCCATCTATTTTTCTTTTATTATCAAACATACCATTTATGAGTTGTGGTTGTCACATAGGATAGGAGATAAATTTCGATAGTACAACCATACATGCATGCGTGGTAAAGATCATTCATTCAAATCACAAGTTCTCAAAGTTCAAGTCGCTCCAACGAAACACCAGTGTTGCACATCAACTTTGTTTCTCTTTCTTACCACCTCAGACTTCGAGATATCGTAATTTGAGTGACTTAAAATGTGAGATATCGTTACTTAAGTAGTTGATTATGTCACTTGTACATATAAAATGGTTCGCCGATAAATGAATAATGATAGAGTAATGATATTTAGCCCCACTGGGGTTACAACTCCAATCTAGGTGGCGTTAATGTAACATTAAATGATAGATAAAATTAAAGAGTAATATTATTCATCCTCAGTGGGATTGTAACCCCAATTTAGATGGCATTAATGTGACATTAAATGACATGTGAATGTGAAATTACACAAGTCATTTAATTTCACACTTTATTTAGCTTATCATTTAGAGTTACATAGACTGGGTTACAATTTCAGTGGAACTACATAGTATTACTCATAACGATAAGTACACAAAATATAGGTAATTGATCCAGACGGCTTTGGACCACGTAAACCCAACAGCCAAGATAAAATAATAGAAGTTGGTGAGGGTGCAGTACCAGCAGGGAGGACCATAATAAAACTGAATTTTCAGTATCAATGTAAAGATCAGAGTTAGCCATTAGCATAGTCGGCAAGAAACAGTTCACAAATTTTGAAGCAAGTTCAGACTCATAACGCCGAAGGGAAGATTCTGAAATATAAGGGGAAAAAAAAAAAACATTATAGAAAACTGTCATAAATATGAATGAGCCACTGCTTTCAGAGGAACGGCCAACACCTTCGTTTCCATCTTCTCTACTTATATATCTATATGTTGGCCACTTTTTAGCCAGATGGGGTGCCAGGTTTCGTTCAGATTTCTTGTTATTTCATCCATTCTCTCATATTTTGTGCCGGAATTTGCATTAATTTTCTTTAACTTGCTTTTGTTTAATGGGAAGAAAAAGAGTATTTTGAAAATTTGGAATTGGGAATTGGTTTCAGTTTGTGGAGGATGAAAATTGATTTTGATATCCCTTCCTGTTTTTTGGGGTTTATGAGTGACTTTAGGTTAGCTTGGAATTTTCTAGTATCTTGGGCATGATTTTTTTTCATTTTTTATCATAAATTTTATTTGATTTTAATTTGCAAATTTATTTTCATTTTGTTTGAGCTTAGGTATTTTTGGTGCTAAGTGTTTGTTTCAGTTTAATTTATATTAATTAATACAGAATTCATGCTTTGAAGAGGCCACAAGTTATAGATCGAAGTACACACTAGTTTAGTTTAGAGAGGAACTGATAAATACTGTTGTAACAATACAAGTAGCCGAGACAAGGGCACCATGCCACCATCTACCCTCTCTTCTATGTATAGGGCACAGCAACCTAAGTTTCACCAATAAATCTCTCCTATTCAACAAAAATAAGGTTTGAAATATGTGAACAATTTAAGGCTGTCCAATGGGAATTGTGTTCAATTATCAATCAAGTGTCTCAAACATATACGAACAATATTGAGGTTACAACCATTTTATTAATTCGATCAATTTTACTTTATGTTTAGTTTATTTTGTGGTGTCCTAATTACAGAATGTGGGAATTCTCTGTTGGTTTATACATGATCAACGTCTGGCCAGACTCATTATTTCTTGCTGCTGTGTATGGAGTGGTAGAATCTGCCTCCACTGCATTGTTCGGGCCGATCATTGGGCAATGGGTGGATAAGTTGTCATATCTTCAGGTTACTTGCACTTCCCTTTAACTTTCACACAAAACAGATGGGGTGACTAACTTTGACTGTATTGATGAATTTGATTTATCTTAGTCAAGGTTGCAGATTCAATTTTGAACAAGCAGAATGCATGAACCTATTTTACGAGAGCACGAACCTGTATTACTTCAAAGTAGGGGAAAATAATGTGTCAATAACTGTCCACAGTGTGAAATAAGGATTTATTTGATTGAGTTTATTAGTGCATTATTCGAAAGTGAAATTCTGATTTTAAAAAAGTGAGAGATTTCTTGCACCTCATTGCTGCTCTTGGCACCAACGCTGACATTTCTTTGTGTCTTTTCTGTGTTATTTGCTTGTATGCATGTGCATAGTTTACAGAGAGACAAGCATGATTCTCTTTTCCTGCAGTAAGCATTTTTATAGTTGATTGGGAAGATGTCTGGATGTTATTTAAGCAAAATAATTCTGGTTCTTGAAATAGAAATGCCTAACGGAAATTCTCAAACCTCTCATATTTGTCGATCTGGTTAGAAAATTATTATATTATTTATTGAACCTTCTATCTTTTGTTCAACAGGTTCTGCAACTTTGGTTATTGAGTCAAAATCTCTCGTTTATGGTTGCTGGAGGTGCAGTTATTGCAATTCTGGTCCCTGCAGACTTGAAGTCTGCAAATGTTACTGCATTCATTTCGTTTATCATATTAATCAATATCTCTGGAGCTGTTGGCATGCTTTCCACTCTTGCCGGTACCATCTTGGTTGAAAGAGAATGGTGACTCATTTTTGCCTTTATCGAGTTTCATGTTATCACGGATTTACTAAAAATAATTTTTATACTTCATTGATGAAATTACCTACTGCACTGTAATCAATTAGCCACAGAGTAATGGTGTTCATATAATTGTTCATCTTCTAGAAGAGTATATCCCACAAAGTGTTTTGGTCCAATTTAAAAAGAGATCCCCGTAGGCTTCTTAGTATATCGATGGGGGGCATAGTTTTTTCACACCCATAGACGATAAAGTTCATCATACTCAAGAACATGGATGTTTGAATTTCATTAATCCCAGTGACACTGCACACCTGGCTAAACTTTTCGAACAAGAAAAGTGATCGTTACAACTTACATCAAATTACAGGGTGATTGTTATAGCCGAAGGCCAGCCTCCAGGATTACAGACAAAGATGAATTCAATCTTAAGAAGAATCGATTTAACGTGCAAATTGTTTGCTCCTGCTGTCACTGGCTTCATTATCAGCTTTGTATCTCTAACTGCATCAGCTATGACTTTAGTGCTCTGGAACATATTATCTGTATGCTTGCAGTATTGGCTTTTAATGTCTGTATATAATGGAATCCCGGCCTTAAAAGAAATCAGCCAAAAGAGGGTCTCAAGATCTTCAGCTAGGGTTCAAAATGAAAGCACCTCGGCATATCCTGAGACAGAAAGCTTAATTTCTTCAGATGTGAATGATTTAGAGCAGCCTGAAAGCAGTTCCATTTCGAAAGGGAATATGATCAAGGAGTTTTTGAAACTTCCTTATATTAGTGCGTGGAAACTGTACCTACAGCAAGACGTGGTGCTCCCGGGACTAGCTCTTGCGTTGCTCTATTTTACAGTACTCAGGTAAGCCCCTTCCAGCTTGTTTAGAAACTGGATTGCACAGTACTTGACAGTGTTAATGGAAGAAAAAGAAGTTAAAATCTTGTATGCGCCCTGTTATGTCTAGTACTGGGTATCAAACATTACAGTATACACTTTTTTATTTAAGATGTGTGCAAAACATGGTTCAAGCTATGGAACAATTTGAAACTAATACTCTGGTTCCTTGTGTTACTGTTTTTCACATTGCTGTGGGATCATCTGCAAGGTGTTCTGACTGCTTTCATCCGCTAAAATATGTTGTACTCGTCCCTGAGAAATTAGTCTTTGGTGCATAATTCGTTTTTCTTCTTTATAATTTGGTATTGCAGCTTTGGAACTTTAATGACAGCTACTTTGGAATGGGAAGGTATACCTGCATATGTAATAGGAATTGCACGTGGAATAAGCGCTACAATAGGAATAAGCGCAACATTTCTATACCCCGTTTTACAATCTCAGATTTCATCACTTCGAACAGGTCTTTGGTCGATTTGGTCTCAGGTACTTCACTCAATACACGAATCACTATCTATCTTCCGAAAGTTGCACTGTTGAGGGCATAAATTAACAATAATTAGGTTCCACATATTCCAAGATAAGAATATTTGTTTGACATTACCAGCACTTTCTTGTTGAGTTTCTGGCTGTTTCTTACACTAAAATTCTAAATGAGTACCTCTTTGGTTTTTATGCAGTGGACCTGTCTCTTGATATGTGTTGCTTCAATATGGATTAAAAGGAAAATTATGTCAGCTTATGTGCTAATGGGTGGAGTGGCTGTATCACGCCTTGGACTATGGATGTTTGACTTGTCTGTCATTCAACAAATGCAGGTACGGAGAATAAGAACTTGTGTCACATTTTTACAAGCTCGTATTGTGTAAACATGTATACACACACACACACACACACATATATATATCCTATTCCAATAGATGTTCAAGTTATAATTCTCCCTGCTTACTCAAATAGGATCATGTTCCTGAATCTGATCGCTGTGTTGTTGGCGGCGTTCAAAACTCACTTCAGTCTTTCTTGGACTTGATGACTTATATTATGGGTATTGTGATATCCAATCCACAGGTATCGTCTTTCCATAATCCCTTTACTTATGTTGATACATAGTACTGGACACTATAAACAACAAGATCTTAAATTCCTTTTCTATCTTAATACCAGTACAATCCAGTCGATCTTACCAAGCAAGTCGTGTATCTCTTGAAACAGACACCAAGCGATGCTTGTTTTGACTTGTAATATTTATTTGTCAAACTAATAACACATCGAGATTGTAGACACTCACCTTTATGTCTCTTAATTTGTCATTTTAAGCAGCATGGAAACTCATGTCACATTTAAGATCGTATTAGAGAATTAACTGCTAATGAGGATTGGCACGCCTATTCACTCGACTTGATTTCTTCTGCTCTGTTCTTATATAGGATTTCTGGATATTGATAATGATATCGTTTCTGCTGGTGACGCTGGCTGCAATTTTGTACAGTCTTCACGTTTATAACCTGAGGAAGCATCTCCTTCACTTAGAGAAGCTACTTGTGCTGGTTCAATGGAATGTTGGTTCTTC